TATCTTGCTCGTGTGGATGTTTGAAAGTAATGAAATGTAACTGAAAAATTTTAAGAGTTCAGCTAAACCTCGAATGGGAGACAGAGGCAAAAAAAAAATTTACATGGCCGAACAAGATGATGCAAGAGGAAACCTCAGATGATTCTCGAGATTTTCAGAGACTGGGGAGACCAAAATAGTGACAGGAGAGATGAAAAACCAAACAGTAGCATCAGCGCACAACAAACTGGGGGTCATAAACAGGAAGCAGACCTCAAGGAATGGGGTGATCAGCAAAGTTAACCAACATGGTGATTTTGAAAACTGTGTACATATACAGCGTTCCAAAGACACTAACTAGAAATTTGTTTATATTAAATTTTTAAAAATAATTTAACAAGAGGAACAGCAAGATAGTGGCAGAGTTCCTCTATTGTCTACCCTAATTTGAACGGCTATGTTCATGATGACTTTCTTTCTTGGGCAAATGGATCAAAGGAACTCAAAGGTAGCAGTTAAAGACAGTATAGCAAAGAAACACAGCTTTCTGACTTGTTTTGTAATAGATAGATAGATAGATAGATAGATAGATAGATAGATAGATAGATGGATAATAATCTGGTCTACTTGCCTAGGAATTGCACCTTGCACAGTTAGCTGGACCCTCCCATAGCAATCAATCAATAAAATGCCCCATAGTGGCTGTATAGCTAGCTCAGCAATTAGAAGCACATTCTGCTCTTTTAGAGGACTTCATTTTATTTGCCAGCAGACAAATGGCAGCACACAACCATCTGTAACTCATTTCAGGGGATCCAGGTTCATCATCTGACCATTTCAGGTCCAAGATATGCATTCGGTATACTTCTATACATGCATGCAAGAAAAACACTAAGACACATAAAAACTTAAATTTTTTTTAAAAAGAAGAAAAGTTCCCACAGACATTCTCACAGGATAATCTGAAGAAGGCAATTGAGGCTCCCTATTGCTGGGAGATTCTATACTAATGCTTCTTCTGTTCACTGTTATCCCTTGTCTGAAAATTGCTTTTCAAAACTTTAGACATAATTATTTAGCTATATTTATTTTTGTTTCATTTTCTTCTTCCAGACCAGGGCCACTATTCATGTCCATGGCTCTATGTTCTGTAGTAGGTACCCTTATCATTTAGGGGTTAAAACATTATTTAACTAAAATATTAATCTTCAAAAGTACTTTTGCTAGGAAACATCATTTATATGATCCATTTCGTTTCTTCTATAAATTCCTAGAGTATTTACAAATTCCTATTTTAGGCAAATAGTAATTGTTATAGTTTAAAACATTCTACATAACTCACAATAATTTTGGTGTGTATGTATGTACCAGAGACAGGGCATCACAATGTAGGCCAGGTTGGCTGAAACCTGGAATCTTTGCAATTCCATCTCCTGAGTGCTGTGTTTACAGGTATATGCCATAGGCCTAACTCATGTTTTTTTCCTTAAGAACAACTTAAGGAATAAGACAATAGAGAAGCAATCATTATTAGGGTTTTTCTATAACTGGCAAATTATCTTCCTGGTATGTCATACTGAATTGTATGAACTAGCATGATCAACTGTTAATCCACAGAATCTGTTTTCTACTGCCCTGCCCTTCACTATTAGATATTACTGATATTTTGAAGTCACGTTTCAAATAACCTTTTTCATTAATAGCTAAATTGTAAATACTACTTCCTTTAAATACTGTCTCATCTCTACAAAAAACTGAGAAAAAATATTTTTATCTTTCTTTCACTGGCAGGATTGTCCCCTCATGAAATTCTGTTTGCTGAGAAGATATCACAGTAACAATTACAAAAAAAAAAAAAAAGTGAAATCGCCAAAAGTTTGAGATGAAAAGAGCCTGTGTTACAGTTCTCTGAAAAGGTTACAGAAAGCCTTGTACACATTAACATATCAATAGTACCATTTTATCCATGTCTGTATTAAGATAAGAGGTAAAAAGAACAATTTATGATTAACTGTATTAGAATGTGTCAGACCAATGAACCATTACTTTAGAGTTTTGGGTTTTTGCTTTTTTTCTTTCTTTAACAGAGAACTTGAATACCATGACCTCAACATTTACATATATTTTAGGGTAGTTTTCTCCAAAGATAAGGTTTGAAAACAACAAAGAAAAAACAGAAAACTTCCCAAGGAGAGTTTTTAATCTGAGAGTCAAAAGAAATAGGAACAAAAAGAAAAAAAAAAACACTGCAATGTATTGTAATAATTGAGAGCAGCCCGATGGGTGAACATAACGTTTTATGTTCATAGGAAAGCCAATCTTTACACAATAAACAAGAGAAAGTTTCCCAGAAGATGCCAAGGAAAAGCAGACACTTTTTGGATAAAAAGGCACAAACGGAAGATCTTTCCAGACAAGAAGGCTGTGAATTTTAAAAATGTGGATAAAGCCCTTACTATAATTTATGCATCGTAAAAAAAAAAAAAATCAGTGTGTGTGAAGCGACTGAGAGGAGACAAGAGATACAAAATCAGCTCTGGGAAAGCATCGTGAGCTGGTGAGGCGGCTCCAGTCTTGAGTTGCTTTGAACAAAATGACCCACATAGTCTCATACATTTGAATGCTTGGCCCCAAGTTAATACAACTATTTAGGCAGGATTAGGAGATGTGACCTTGTGGAGGACATGTGGCCTTGTTAGAGAAGGTTGGCACTGCCTTCACTGGGGAGTAGACACTACGCGCAGTCTCAGTCTCCCTCCCTTTCTCCCTTTCTCCCTTCCTTCCTTCCTCCCTTCCTCCCTTCCTCCCTTCCTCCCTTCCTCCCTCCCTCCT